AGTTTCTTGGATACCGCATGTCTTCTTCGATGTAGGAAGATCGGTAGGACCACAGACCAGGGACGGACTAAGAAGAGCTAGGGAATCTCGATGCAGATAAACCTGTTCCTCCTTGTGATGTCTGCGGATACCTGAACGTCTCCTCGAAGTAGGGACGCCGGTAGGACCAAGGACCAAGGACGAACGAAGCACCAGGGAATCTCGATGCAGATAAACCTGTTCCTCCTTGTGATGTCTGCGGATACCTGAACGTCTCCTCGAAGTAGGGACGCCGGTAGGACCAAGGACCAAGGACGAACGAAGCACCAGGGAATCTCGATGCAGATAAACCTGTTCCTCCTTGTGATGTCTGCGGATACCGAACGTCTCCTCGAAGTAGGGACGCCGGTAGGACCAAGGACCAAGGACGAACGAAGCACCAGGGAATCTCGATGCAGATAAACCTGTTCCTCCTTGTGATGTCTGCGGATACCGAACGTCTCCTCGAAGTAGGGACGCCGGTAGGACCAAGGACCAAGGACGAACGAAGACCATAGATTACCTCCCTCAAAAAAAAAAAAAAAAAAAAAAAAAAAAAAAAAAAAAAAGGGAGAAGAGGAGGGTAGCTCCTATGCGGAAGGGAATCTTGCCCGGGTGTGCCAGATCTTCCCCCACCGCCGAAGACGAACGCCTCTCGATGTAGAGGTTAGTAGAGACGTGGAGGGGGCTAGACGAACCAAGGGAGCCTGCCAAGATAAACCTGTTTATCCCACAAATGACCATGGATCGATGGACGTGGGATAACAAAGACGGGAACCCGTGAGGGTAAACCAGTTCGTCCCTGCGAGTTCCTTGGGTACCGAACGTCTTCTTCGATGCAAGAGACGCCGGTAAGACTAAAAGGACCAGGGACGAACGAAAAAGGGAGGGAATCTCGATGTAGATATACCTGTTCCTCATTGCGATGTTCGCGGATACCGAACGTATCTTCGATGTAAGAACGCCGGTAGGACCAAGGACCAATGACGAACGAAGACTAAAAGACTCCAAAAAAAAAAAAAAAAAAAGAAAAAAAAAAAAAAAAAAAAAAAAAAGATGCCAGAAGAGCACGGAGCAAAGAATGATTTTTATCCCTCGGCGATATTGGCCGGGAAGTACAAACTGAAAAACATATGTAAAGAATAATTACAAAACTTGAGTACGAAGAATGAAGTGGCCGACGACGATCGGCTAACATCAGGTTTTCTTTTGCCTCGAACGACGATTAGCCCCCCAGATCAGGTAGAAGGGACATCGCCCAGATTTATTTCAGGCTCACCATTCCTTCCCGGATGGAGTCCTGGCAGACGATCGGCTTCTCACAGCCAATCAGGAGAGAGACTTGACACATCACCAGCACGGCCGAGGGCCGTGGGACGATTACCACTCACCGACAGGCCGAGGGCCATGAGATGATCATCACTATTTTTCTGTATCACGATCGGCGCCCCAGCGCCATCGTGTCCAGACTCACGGTTCGTCTCGCCCATTCCCTTCCAGGATGGCGACGACCGTCTTATGCAGTACGATCGGCCCCTCAGCGCCATCGTACCTGGCTTCACGGTTCGGCTCGCCCACTCCCTCCAGGATGGCGACGACCGTCTTATGTAGCACGATCGGCTTCTCAGCACCATCGTGTCTCTTTCACGTTCGGATCGCCCCATTCCCTCCAGGATGGCGACGAACGTCTTATGCAGTACGATCGGCCCCTCAGCGCCATCGTACCTGGCTTCACGGTTCGGCTCGCCCACTCCCTCCAGGATGGCGACGACCGTCTTATGTAGCACGATCGGCTTCTCAGCACCATCGTGTCTCTTTCACGTTCGGATCGCCCCATTCCCTCCAGGATGGCGACGAACGTCTTATGCAGTACGATCGGCCCCTCAGCGCCATCGTACCTGGCTTCACGGTTCGGCTCGCCCATTCCCTCCAGGATGGCGACGACCGTCTTATGTAGCACGATCGGCTTCTCAGCGCCATCGTGTCTCTTTCACGTTCGGATCGCCCCATTCCCTCCAGGATGGCGACGAACGTCTTATGCAGTACGATCGGCCCCTCAGCGCCATCGTACCTGGCTTCACGGTTCGGCTCGCCCATTCCCTCCAGGATGGCGACGACCGTCTTATGTAGCACGATCGGCTTCTCAGCGCCATCGTGTCTCTTTCACGTTCGGATCGCCCCATTCCCTCCAGGATGGCGACGAACGTCTTATGCAGTACGATCGGCCCCTCAGCGCCATCGTACCTGGCTTCACGGTTCGGCTCGCCCATTCCCTCCAGGATGGCGACGACCGTCTTATGCAGCACGATCGGCTTCTCAGTGCCATCGTGTCTCTTTCACGTTCGGATCGCCCCATTCCCTCCAGGATGGCGACGAACGTCTTATGCGGTACGATCGGCCCCTCAGCTCCATCGTACCTAGATTCACGGTTCGGCTCGCCCATTCCCTCCAGGATGGCGACGAACGCCTTATGCAGTGCGATCGGCCCTTCAGCGCCATCGTCCCTGGCTTCACGGTTCGGCTCGCCCTTTCCCTTCAGGATGGCGACGACCGTCTTATGCGGTACGATCGGCCCCTCAGCGCCATCGTACCTAGATTCACGGTTCGGCTCGCCCATTCCCTTCAGGATGGCGACGACCGTCCTATGCAGTGCGATCGGCTTCTCAGCGCCATTGTATCTCTTTCACGTTCGGATCGCCCCATTCCCTCCAGGATGGCGACGAACGCCTTATGCAGTGCGATCGGCCCTTCAGCGCCATCGTCCCTGGCTTCACGGTTCGGCTCGCCCTTTCCCTTCAGGATGGCGACGACCGTCCTATGCAGTGCGATCGGCTTCTCAGCGCCATCGTATCTCTTTCACGTTCGGATCGCCCCATTCCCTCCAGGATGGCGACGAACGTCTTATGCAGTGCGATCGGCCCTTCAGCGCCATCGTACCTGGCTTCACGGTTCGGCTCGCCCATTCCCTTCAGGATGGCGACGACCGTCCTATGCAGCACGATCGGCTTCTCAGCGCCATCGTATCTCTTTCACGTTCGGATCGCCCCATTTCCCTTCAGGATGGCGACGACCGTCCTATGCAGCACGATCGGCTTCTCAGCGCCATCGTGTCTCTTTCACGTTCGGATCGCCCCATTCCCTCCAGGATGGCGACGAACGTCTTATGCAGTGCAATCAGCGCTTCAGTGCCATCGTGTCTGGCTCACGTTAGGGTCGCCCATCCCTTTCAGGATGGCGACGAACGTCTCTTATGCAGCACGATCAGCGCCCCAGCGCCATCGTGTCTGGCTCACGTTAGGGTCGCCCATCCCTTCCAGGATGGCGACGAACGTCTCTTATGCAGCACGATCAGTGCCCCAGCGCCATCGTGTCTGGCTCACGTTAGGGTCGCCCATCCCTTCCAGGATGGCGACGAACGTCTCTTATGCAGCACGTCTGCCTCTCGGCGCTGACATGCCCGGTTTATCGATGAGAGCCACCGCTTTCTATCACATCTCACATTCCTTCTCTCATACATTGCACCCATACATTACATGCATTCATGCATTCATGCATCATACCTCATACATTCATACATACACACGTGCATCATGTTTTGACGGTACCGCGACGTCGGTTTATAGATGCATGGACCTCTAAGCTTCTCCGTTGGAAAGCTCGAGTCAGAGTCCTTTACTCTCGCCTGATGCATTCAGGGGGAGCGTGCCCGTGGAGGAGCACCTTTCGCCCGACCCCATCGGGAACGGGGGTGCCTCACCGGCAGATTACGTTCAGGAGTGTGGACATCCACTCATATATTATGATTATTCGAAGACACAGGTTCCAGCTAGACCGAGGTAAAGCGCAGGCAAGAGTATATTTTCTCGAGCAGATTCGCACGCTCACTACTCAAGAAACTGGGGGACTTGTGTTGGGATATATTATCCCGGCCTATTACTGTTCAAGAGCCCAAGATATTATCCAGTACGGAGCCTGAACAGTTTGGACCATTTCGGCCCATCCGGCCCACTTTAGCCTTTGGGCCTGTTTCGGCCCACTTGGCCCGTTAGGGTGGAGAGTACTTCCCATCCCCTTTCCTTATAAATATGGGGGTTTCCCTCCATATGAAGGAGACCTTTTTCCTCCTTCATGCTTCTTCTTCTCTAGATTAGATAATACTCCATTAATGGGAGCTTCAAGCTTGTATAATGTAATGGTGAGGAGAGCCTAATGAGAATTGAGAGGGCTTGGACATTAGCCTAAAAAGTCCCGTGGTTTTCTCCCTTTCGGGTTTCCACGTAAAAACTGAGTTGTTCATACACATTTATACATATATTTACTATATCGTGTTGGATTAAACTCAACACAATGCAATACAATGCAATACAATGCAATACAATACAATGCAATGCAATACAATGCAATGCAATGCAATACAATGCAATACAATACGATACGATACGATACGATGCGATGCGATGCGATGCGATGCGATGCGATGCGATGCGATGCGATGCGATGCGATGCGATGCGATGCGATGCGATGCGATGCGATGCGATGCGATGCGATGCGATGCGATGCGATGCGATGCGATGCGATGCGATGCGATGCGATGCGATGCGATGCGATGCGATGCGATGCGATGCGATGCGATGCGATGCGATGCGATGCGATGCGATGCGATGCGATGCGATGCGATGCGATGCGATGCGATGCGATGCGATGCGATGCGATGCGATGCGATGCGATGCGATGCGATGCGATGCGATGCGATGCGATGCGATGCGATGCGATGCGATGCGATGCGATGCGATGCGATGCGATGCGATGCGATGCGATGCGATGCGATGCGATGCGATGCGATGCGATGCGATGCGATGCGATGCGATGCGATGCGATGCGATGCGATGCGATGCGATGCGATGCGATGCGATGCGATGCGATGCGATGCGATGCGATGCGATGCGATGCGATGCGATGCGATGCGATGCGATGCGATGCGATGCGATGCGATGCGATGCGATGCGATGCGATGCGATGCGATGCGATGCGATGCGATGCGATGCGATGCGATGCGATGCGATGCGATGCGATGCGATGCGATGCGATGCGATGCGATGCGATGCGATGCGATGCGATGCGATGCGATACGATACGATACGATACGATACGATACGATACGATACGATACGATACGATACGATACGATACGATACGATACGATACGATACGATATAATATAATATAATATAATATAATATAATACTTCTCCGTTCTTTTTTAATTGCAACAGTCAACATTTCATGTTTGCCAACACACATTTTTGACCATTAATATCTTTCATTCCTTATTAGTAAAAAATTTTAAAAAAAAAATCATATTTTGAAATTTTAGAATGTGAAGAATTTAACAATATTTTTAAAATTTTAATTTATTTTATATCAATTAATAAAATGTAGTCAAAGTAGAAGATGTGAATAGTGCAAAAAATCCAATGTTGCAACTAAAAGAGAACGGAGGTAGTATAATACGGAGTATAATACTCATGTCCCAATGTTAGTGAGACGGGGTAGTACTACACAACACAACATACACACACAAACACAACATAGTGCACTGAATTCTAAGAAAACCACAACATTCGTGAATCGTGTATACCATACAAAATAAAAACCCATAAAATCAACATTTAAGTAGGAAATACTTGTAATAAATAATTATGTAAACATGAACATCATCATAATTGACTAATAAGAGCGAAAAAATTTAATTTCTGTTAGCCCATATCAAGGACGCTATACTGTTGCGATGTTCCTTCATCTCAGTGCAGCTTTCTGTTTGTGAATTGATGGCACTTGAACTTGAGTTCTGAATGTCAGCAAGATCATCACGTGGTATGAAGTCTGGATGGCGCTCGAGAACCTCAAAAATCATGTCATCGCTAGAGAATTTGCGAATATAGTTGTGCAAAGCAAATGTTGCCATAATAACATCTATCTGCGTTTTAACGCTAAACATAGGCATTCTTGATAAGATCTTCCACCTCTTTTTCAAAACCCCAAAAGAACGCTCTATGCAACTACGAAGAGATGAGTGTGAGCGATTGAAAGCTTCTTGAGCATTTGTTGGTGCTTCATTTTCAAATTGCTCCAAGTGGTATCGTAGCTTGGGATAAGGAACAAGATATCCTTTTCGATCCGGATAGCCTTTATCCACCAAGTAATATCTACCTACATAAATTTTAATAATATGATTAAAATTATGCTTATGAGTTTAATAAATTGACAATAAAACATACCTTCAGGTGGATGTGGAAAGTTCAACGACGGAGTCTCTATAGCATGAAGGAATACACGTGTATCATGAGCCGATCCCTCCCACCCTACTGATAGAAATGTAAAACACATGTTGAAATCACACACAGCCATAACATTAAATGTCGGGATACCTTTTCTTCCTCTATAACGCAGTTGTTCCTTTACTGCTACGTGTGTTCCATCGATACACCCAATGCAATCCTTGAAATATGGCATATATCTTTTATCCTTTAAAATATGATAAGGGATATACGGGAAGGCCCGATCGATTGGTGCAATCATATCACGTGCAAGTCCCTTATATCCCTTACTCCTACCTGTGACGGATTCTAAGACATCATGAAATGCCCGACTTACGGTATCTCCAGATCTTTGGAACCTCTCAGCTACATCTCGATTTGAAAGACCCAAAGCTAGAGTGTATATAAATATACCTACTTTTTCTTCAATTGTGATTTTGTCACTTGATGTTAAATCATATTTTGATTGCAAATCCTTACATAGGCGTGCGAATAAATCTGGTGACATCCTAAAGGCATTAACACAACGAATAGGATGACCATTCAGCACCTCTTGCATCCAAGCCTCCCCACTTAAAGCTGATGCCATGCAAGGCTCCTTGTACATATGTTTGTAATAATGGGATGCAATAAAATCATTTCTATCATGAATACTAATCCCGGCCATAATAAGAAGCATAAACTCATCATCTTCATCGTGACTCATTATATCCCTATAAATAAACAAATGAATGAAAACAAATCACTTCAATATCAAGTCTCATCATATAAATTTTAAAATCACTTCAATCTCAAGTCTCAACATATAAAAATTAAAATCACTTCAATCTCAAGTCTCAACAAATAAAAATTGAAATTAAATATCCAATCTAAAAAAATTAAATTTGTATCCTAAATGTATGACTTGGTATTTAAACCATTCCTTTTGCGTGCATAAACTTCAACCAGTTGAGCCTTTCATCGTCATCTTTAAAGTTTATGAAGAATTGTCTTCTAGTAGGATTCTCCAGAATACAAATGCTGTGAAACCATAAGTCTCCACTCCTCACAAGCCCGCCATTATCAGCCATTCTAGTCATAATTTCCATGACATCACCAACACTTACAGAATCATCAACAACCTTCTCTTTTTTAGTCAAGAGACGCTCAATTGCTTGAAAACATGTATTCCCCCTCTCTAAATTTTCACTAAGTTTCACTGATCCCATAGACTGCCTTAGTTTGCGCTTCTTACTAGTGGCACTGGTCTTTGCATCTTCACCAGTGGTAACTGTAGTAACAGAAGGAACATTTCCACTAGCCTCTTGCATAAAGTCCTGAAAAAAATTACCCAGATCTAGTTCGTCATGGTAACTCTTATACACCTCATAAGGATCACGGTTATCCTCCAAGTTGACGGTGACTTGATGATTTTCTTGATTGTTGTTCTCCACAATTGTAGCAGTTGGAGCCACGCACTCTACTCCAGTTGCTACGGAGTCCCCAAATATTTGATCCCATTGTTCTTCAATGTTCTTTGGAATTCCTTTATTCTTGAACTTCTTTACTTCTGCCTTTTCCTAAAGAGAAATTTTTTACTTGAAAATAAATATTATAATAATCCCAATTCTAAGGTAATAATCTAACTAAAACACATACCTTAATTTTTTTACTCCACCACTCATCAGAACAATCCAACGTACCAATGACTGCATTCCAACCCAATCCAGTGTCATCACGTTTCAATGACTTCCACAATCGCCAATCTTTTTTCATAAAGTCAAACTTATTTTTCAAACTTTTAAAAGAACATTTCCTTTTGGTTCTCTCCTCGAATAAGGCTTGCATCTCCTTCCACCTAAACTGTTGTCCCCTCCCATTCTTAAGAATGAACTGAATGCATATTTTATTAAAAATTGCAACAGTTTCATCTGACCAAATAAAGTAACCTCCCTCATCTTTCTTAGATGACATCTGAAAGTCTCAACCAGCACCAACAATATAAATAGCAAATTGTCATTACAAACTTGGAACTTAAAGCAACTTATGACAGATAAAATATAATAACAATATAACAACAATTTAAAGCAACTTATTACAAAACTCAAATTTCACAATTTGGATTTCAGTTCTTAAAAACAGAAAACAAAGAACAACTCCAAACTAAAAAGAGAAGGCTAATACAAGGATAACAAGCAAGCATATTACGAGTTATATATAGTACAATAACACCAAGATACGAAAAAATTGTTTTTCAAACTTAAGACAAAAGAACGATAAAACTACTAGCAAAAACAATTTTAAGAATCGGATCCAAATACCCCTTAGTGGTGTAAAACTAAGGAAAATAGTTATATTTTGGGGGGGAAAGGAAAAAAATGTAAGGTACATAATGAGACAAACTGGCAGAGGAAGTAATAATTCAAGAAAAATTCAGTTCATTACTGCGTACTACTCTGTATTTTACTAGCTAGGCCTCTGAAAATGCTAGAGTATGCCGTGTATCCCTTGCACCCAAATTATCCTATTGTGACGTCCAGAAACTTTTGAAGCATTGGAACACATTGAATAGAAAAAGAATGATTTCTGTACAATGGAATCCATCCAAGAATCAATCCTACTTACTACAACTGCCAAAGCATCAATAGTTTCACTTCCTTTAACTTTGGGGAAGTACAAAATGATGCAATTAGTACATAGTTTTAATAATAGAGGATATAAAAGAAAGTACTTTCTTAAGGTGCAGGAATCCATTCCTTTTCATTCCTTGTAAGAACTTTTTTTTAACTTGAGAATACGGAGAACTGTTTACTGACTTTATTTGTTTTTTTAAGTTTCTTGTGATTTCCTATACCACATTGGTGTTGGGATTTTTATGACTATGAAGTAAGAACAAGAGCAAACTATTGCTAGTAATAATAATAGTAATAACGTAGTGGATGGAGAGCAAAAATCACAACAACGTAAGTATTATATGGAGTACTACATATCTAATAATTATTCTAAGGGAACCCCATATTCCAGAATTTCTATTACTAAAAACAAATTCAAACCAGTTTTTTTTCATACCAATTTTTTTTTACGTTGACAGATGGCATTCTTTATAGCTACTCAGGTGACCTTCTAAATTGTATTTTTTTAAATTTCTGGTACAGCAACAAATAAAGCACAGAACAAAGTCACAAACGAAGAATGAGAAAGTATAAAAGTTGATGCCTTCATATTATGGAGGAAATAGGTGTTGGGTTATTAGCAAGGAATTGGGGAAAGTAAAGAATGCATACCTTGACAGTGGAAAGAAATCGGAGGAGAGGTTTTGCAGAAATAAATAAAAACACTTGATATCGGTACTTAAATAAATAAATAAAATAAGAGAATAAAATTTAGCAGAACCGGGCAGCCATAGATGAATAGACCATCCTGTTGGAGTTCTATGTAGGTTTTCTTTCAGGGTGACGGGAGAAAAGAGGAGGCCTGGAGCAGACCTCTCATTGTGTATGGCTTGCTATCGGTGTCTAAAAGACCAAGCAATTGACACAAATAAACTGCAGAATGAAGGGCGGAGGTAAAAATAACATACCTTCACTGAAGCTGGAACTCTGCCTCGACCAATGAACTTGGCTGTGCGGCGATGGGGAAGGAATTGTGGAGAGATGAATATATATGTCTGCGGGCGACCAGGGACATAAGGGGAATGTGAAGTCTGGAATCGAGAGACTGATGTCAAACGCTTCGGAGGCAAACGTTGCAGCTCAGCCCATTTTTTCCAACTTAAGCCCGCTTCAGCCTGGCAAACAAACGGGTCTACTTTAATCCAAACTGACTGAATTTACAAGATTTCAGCCTTTTTTGAGCTGAATTGGCGTGCCGAACACAGCCTAAATGAAATGAGAAATTCCAATTGGGCATTGGCTGAACGGATGGGGCGCTTGGAACTTGTGAAAATATGTCATCAAAGTCAAAATTGGTCGAGAGAGCTCACCCCATTGCATTTGGAGATTACCTCGACGAACGTCTCCATTATTCTACAGCTAAGTGCCTACACTTCTAAATTGGTACATTAATTATTAAATGTTTAAAATGTTAGAAGCATGGCTACTATTATTTTTTATCACCATTATTTATTAGGGATTAAAATCTCCCAAAATTAAATAATGTCGAGCGACGCTCTTGTGATAAGTAGTTTAACAGTCATTTAAGTTTAATGACTGTTGTTGTGGGCCTGTCGGCCCGCTCCCAATCGGCTTTAATTAGCGAGCGGAGCGTACCTGAATGGCCTTTGATAGGAAAATATCATTGCTATTACCTGTTACACCATTATTATTTATTAGGGATAAAAATGTCCCGAATAAATAATGTGGAGCGAAGCTCTAGTGATGGTGGGTTCAGCCAACATTTTATTGAATATTTAATTTCTTGTGGGCCTGTTGGCCCACTCTCGGTCGGCTTGATTAAGCGATCCGAGCGTATCCAGTAGGGCGATGCCTCGACGATGCATTTTAATTTGGGGGTTACGCATTAGTCCGCACGGCACCAAGTGCCCGAGCGACGATCGTACGATAGTACCATTTGCGCCGCTAGGCGAAGTGACTGTGCCAAACACGGCCTGTGGGGCCCGAAGGCACCAAAGTGCTCAACCTCCTTTTTCCGAGGGCAGTGCGACTAACTTGGGTCTGAGTTGAAAACTCACAGACCGGTGAATATTTCTATATGACGTTCGGTGGGCTGCTAGCTGGCCCCGCCGCGAGCTACTACGTCCATTAACCCCGCACGATGAGCCGGGCCGAGGGTGAAGATGACCCATAGGCCGGTAATCGTGGATGTTTAAAGAGAAAGCCATGCAAATGGTTATGTGTGCATATTTATTGTCGGGCCGTGCGGCCCGTTACCATGTTAGTTGCGCAGCTGAAATCACTCGACGCGCTCGAGCGAAATGATTAAAAGACGCTCGGCCCGATTCTTGAAGACGTTCAGGGCCAGCTAAAGAGGAGACCATCACGGTTGAGGACCGTGAGACGAGCATCTCCACCCCAGAGACCGATGGCCTAGGAGAGAACACCTAGAGGCCGAGGGTCTAGAGTGGACTACCACGACGGAGAATCGTGAGACGGTCACCCATCATTCCGAGGCCGAGGGCCTAGAGGAGATCGTCACGGCCGAGGGCCGTCTGACACCATCATACCATGACCGGCCTCTCGGCGCGGCATGTTCATATCTGAAGACCGGCCTCATCCCCGCGATGCGCGGATGAGGACCGTTGCTTAATGCTCAGATCGGCTTCATATTGCCGACATCATCACAGCATGACCGGCCTCTCGGCGCGGCATGTTCATGTTGAAGACCGGCCTCGTCCCCGCACTGCGCGCACAAGGACCGTTGCCTGGATTTCATGTCGGCCTCTCATTGCCGACATCATCATATCACGACCGGCCTTTTGGCCCGGCGTGATTATCATATTTGAAGACCGGCCTCGTCCCCGCGATGCGCGGATGAGGACCGTTGCTTGTTTTCTCAAATCGGCCTCTCATTGCCGACACCACGACCGGCCTCCCGGCTCAGCGTGCTCTCCATGTTTGAAGACCGGCCTCATCCCCGCTCCTCGCGGATGAGGGCCGTTGCTTGATTCTTTCAGGTCGGCCCCTCATTGCCGACACTATCACATCATGTTCGGCCTCTCGGCACGACATACTTATCTTTTGAAGACCGGTTCCATCCCCGCGACGCGTTGGATGAGGGCCGTTGCACGGATATATCGGCCTGACCGGACATTATTGCCATCTCCTCATCAGGACCGACTGCTCAGTGACATTATGATCATTGTTTATCGGCTCCCAATGCCGACCCTCTTGAGTTTGCGATCGGGCTCACGACTCCCCTCCAGGAGGGTGACCATCGCCTTCGCATGACGACCAGCTATTCTATCGCCTCGTCATTATATTCGTTCGCTATGCCACCACCATTATGTGTGACATCCCGTGATCCCTGCGAGTTTCTTGGATACCGAATGTCTTCTTCGATGTAGGAAGATCGGTAGGACCATGGACCAGGGACGGACAAAGAAGAGCTAGGGAATCTCGATGTAGATAAACTTGTTCCTCCTTGCGAGTTTCGCGGATACCGAACATCTCTTCGAAGCAAGAGCGCCGGTGGGACCAAGAACCAAGGACGAACGAAGAATATAGATTGCCTCCCTCAAACAAAAAAAAAGATGGGGAAAAGAGGAGGTGAGCTCCTATGTGGAAGGGAATCTTGCCCGGGCGTGCCAGATCTTCTCCCACCGCCGAAGACGAACGCCTCTCGATGTAGAGGTTAGTAGAGACGCGGGGGGGGGGGGGGGGGGGGGGGGGGGGGGGGGGGGGGCTAGACGAATCAAGGGAGCCTTGCCAAGATAAACCTGTTCATCCCACAATGACCATGGATCGATGGGCGTGGGATAACAAAGCCGGGAACCCGTGAGGGTAAACCAGTTTGTCCCTGCGAGTTCCTTGGATACCGAACGTCCTCTTCGAAGCAAGAGACGCCGGTAGGACTAAAAGGACCACGGTACGAACGAAAAAGGGGGAATCTCGATGCAGATAAACCTGTTCCTCCTTGCGAGTTTCGAGGATACCGGACGTCTCTTTGAAGTAAGGACGCCGGTAGGACCAAGAACCAAGGACGAACGAAGACTAAAAGACTCCAAAAAAAAGATGCCAGAAGAGCACGGAGCAAAGAATGATTTTATCCCTCGGCGCTATTGGCCGGGGAAGTACAAACTGAACAACATATGTAAAGAATAATTACAAAACTTAAGTACGAAGAATGAAGTGGCCGACGACGATCGGCTAACATCAGGCTTTCTTTTGCCTTGAACGACGAATACCAGCTCCCCAGATCAGACAGAGGGACGACGCCCAGGTCCACCCTTCCTCCGAGGATGAAGTCCTGACAGGACGATCGGCTTCTCATAGCCAGCCAAGACGGACCGCGCCTAGATTTCACAGTTCGGCTCGCCCATTCCCTCCAGGATGGCGACGACCGTCTTACGCAGCACGATCGGCTTCTCAGCGCCATCGTGTCTCTTTCACGTTTGGATCGCCCCATTCCCTCCAGGATGGCGACGAACGTCTTATGCAGTGGGATCGGCCCCTCAGCGCCATCGTACCTGGATTCACGGTTCGGCTCGCCCATTCCCTCCAAGATGGCGACGGCCGTCTTATGCAGCACGATCGGCTTCTCAGCGCCATCGTGTCTCTTTCACGTTCGGATCGCCCCATTCCCTCCAGGTTGGCGACGAACGTCTTATGCAGTGCGATCGGCCCCTCAGCGCCATCGTGTCTCTTTCACGTTCGGATCGCCCCATTCCCTCCAGGATGGCGACGAACGTCTTATGCAGTGCGATCGGCCCCTCAGCGCCATCGTACCTGGCTTCACGGTTCGGCTCGCCCATTCCCTCCAGGATGGCGACGACCGTCTTATACAGCACGCTCGGCTTCTCAGCGCCATCGTGTCTCTTTCACGTTCGGATCGCCCCATTCCCTCCAGGATGGCGACGAACGCCTCATATGTAGCACGATCAGCGCCCCAGCGCCATCGTGTCTGGCTCACGTTCGGCTCGCCCATCCCTTCCAGGACGGCGACGAACGCCTCTTATGCAGCACGATCAGCGCCCCAGCGCCATCGTGTTTGGCTCACGTTAGGGTCGCCCATCCCTTTCAGGATGGCGACGAACGTCTCTTATGCAGCACGATCAGCGCCCCAGCGCCATCGTGTCTGGCTCACGTTAGGGTCGCACATCACTTTCAGGATGGCGACGAACGTCTCTTATGCAGCACGATCAGCGCCCCAGCGCCATCGTGTCTGGCTCACGTTAGGGTCGCCCATCCCTTTCAGGACGGCGACGAACGTCTCTTATGCAGCACGATCAGCGCTTCAGCGCCATCGTGTCTAGCTCACGTTAGGGTCGCCCATCCCTTTCAGGATGGCGACGAACGTCTCTTATGCAGCACGATCAGCGCCCCAGCGCCATCGTGTCTGGCTCACGTTAGGGTCGCCCATCCCTTCCAGGATGGCGACGAACGTCTCTTATGCAGCACGATCAGCGCCCCAGCGCCATCGTGTCTGGCTCACGTTAGGGTCGCCCATCCCTTCCAGGATGGCGACGAACGTCTCTTATGCAGCACGACCAGTGCCCCAGCGCCATCGTGTTTGGCTCACGTTAGGGTCGCCCATCCCTTTCAAGATGGCGACGAACGTCTCTTATGCAGCACGATCAGCGCCCCAACGCCATCGTGTCTGGCTCACGTTAGGGTTGCCTATCCCTTCCAGGATGGCGACGAACGTCTCTTATGCAGCACGATCAGCGCTTCAGCGCCATCGTGTCTGGCTCACGTTAGGGTCGCCCATCCCTTTCAGGATGGCGACGAACGTCTCTTATGCAGCACGATCAGCGCTTCAGCGCCATCGTGTCTAGCTCACGTTAGGGTCGCCCATCCCTTTCAGGATGGTGACGAACGTCTCTTATGCAACACGATCAGCGCCCCAGCGCCATCGTTTCTGGCTCACGTTAGGGTCGCCCATCCCTTCCAGGATGGCGACGAACGTCTCTTATGCAGCACGATCAGCGCCCCAGCGCCATCGTGT